TATACAGGTCATCCAAAATCACTTACAGTAAGGAAACTTTAAACATTTTATTATCTTTACAGATTTTTACAATATTATTTACTTGCTAATTTAACAATTTTATAAAATTTGTAGGTTTTTAACTTTTCTTTCTTTTAGAGGTATTTGATGAATACAACCAACTAGATGTATGTAGTATTGAAAACGGGGTACAATGCAATATAATATCGTGCTAACTTGATACAATCTAAATGAGTTAGAAAGCTTCGCGATTCTAAAGTTAAATTAATACATCTTGAAGTTAATTTACACCACATTCTTGATCATTTAGAAAGACAACGGAGTTCAATTTTATTCTTTATTATGCTCCTTATAACTAAAATTGTATAAATAAAATTCACAAGGTCACATTTTCTACCTTCGTCGCCCTGGCAACGATGTGACAGACACCAATGCTACTCTTTTTATTTACATAGCATCTCTGGAGGTACAGGATCATCCATCTGATCTGTCACCAGTAGCCAATTGTGCAGATCTTGTGTGATGTTAATTAGTAAAACGACCAACCATGTACAGTGCGCCAATAAAAAACTAACCATCCAGAACAACTTTTGATATAATGTTCGGATCTTCACATTCTAGGACTCATTCTTAACACTAGATTGCCCAAGGAAATCATTTTAACTGCTTTTTCATTTGCAGAAAATGTACAAATAATAATGCATAATTTCTTTTCCAAGTGAAGTACATTTTGTTGTTGTTAATATTTACTAATACTTTGTTGTTTAAATATAAATAATATAAAAAATATTGAAAACTGACAAATTTCTTTACAGTTTAGTTATTTTTTCACAATGCAGTCATTTTGACTGCTCTTGGGAAATATAGGTATTTACTAAGTTTCAGTCTTTCTAAGTGTTAATGATTCAAGGGGGTGACCACAAATATACTAATTAGCTAGTGCACACGATATTTTAAATTATGAAATTAGACATAAAAATCTCTTTCTCTGAATAAACATACCTTTTTTTCAACCGATGTTGATTTCTGACTCCCAAATTATAGGGGGTAACCGCAATGTCGAAAATATGGTCAACATAGTTTACTTAGGGGAGTGAGTGGTCTAAAGTTTGAACCCCTTAAATGCTTATTTTACTTTTTGCGTATTTTGCCATATCACGAGAACTTTTTTAGTGCAATTTAGAAAAAATTCACACAATTATATAATTTGTTTATCCAAAGATAATTCATGCAAAAAATACATATCAGTAAATATTAAAATTTCTTTATTGTTTTATTAAACAAGAGTGGAAAATGTTTAAATTGTAAGGTATACAATTTTAGGTATGGTAAGGTAAATTGTAAAGTAATTTTTACATCGTACTTTAAAATGACCTAAAAATTTGTATACCTAACAATTCAAAAAAATTTTGACTTTTATTTAATAAAATGATAAAAAATAATAAATATTTACCGAAATTAAATTTATAATTACGTGATAAATATTAACCAAAACAAATGAATTTTATAATTGAATCGCGTAACCTTAAAACGGTTATTCTATATGCAATCTAGTTCAAAATTTTATACATTTTAAACTTAATCGTGAAACCAGCTGTTTTTGAGACTATACAGCTAATGTTAATTAGCTATTTTTTTCAATAGTTAGTAAAGCTAATTTATAATATCGTCGTTTGAAACAATTAAGGAATATCTATGAGAAAGTATGAAGCATAATAAACGCCAAAAAATTGTTTAATCTACGAATATTCAAAAATCAATTTATGGTGTTTTTATAAAGAATTCCATTAACTTATTTTTATTTTCTTCAACTTTTAAAACTTTTTCTAAATTTTCAGCAAAAAGAAAAAATAAAGGGGTTTTTTCGTGAGGAATTCGTTTATTTTAATGGAATAAAGGTGCCAGTATTGACTGTATCTGTACAGTTCTGTACACCTTGTAAAGATTTGCACAATTTATTGGTAGTACACAATTTAATAGTAGTGAACTTGACTCATCGCGTAAAATACAATACCTGAAACATAAGAAAAGGCATTTGCACGTAGTTTGACATAAAGTTTTATTATTAAATTAAAATGTTATCCGTAAATAAAAATATTGTAAAATAAGTAATTTCAGCCAAAATGACATCACAATTTCGTTGTTTTCTGAAAGTCATCTAACCGAGTTCAGCCTGACGTTCCTAAAGTTTCTGCAAATGGGTACCTACAAGCGATGTCATGCTTAGGTAAATCGTGGCGTTCGTTTATGCCACGATTCAGCAACCAATTAGGTTGTCACAATAAGCACCAAATGTCACACACGCGTGACATTGCCTACAAGTATAAAATTGATTCTTCGTGAAAAAAATCAAGACTAAAAGCTCTACAAAAACTAAAGGACTATGTCATTCGCAACCTCGTGATTAGACACTACCATGTGATTTTAGCAGCATTCTTCTCCTCGAGTGTCATGTACTCAATTATACACAGTCCAGTCACATTAATGTGACCACCTGTCAAAAGCCAGAATAATCACCTTTGGCTGAGCGGACCGCTACGAGACGTGCAAGAAGAAAGTCAATTAGGTTTCTGAAAGTGTTCACTGGGATGTTGAGCCATGCCGACTCCAGTGCCGTGGCCAGCTGCGCTAGATCACGCGGTTGAGGATCCATGGCACGAACAACCCGATCAAGGTGATTCCACAGATTCTCGATTGGGTTTAAATCCGGTGAGTTTGCCGGCCAGGGGAGTACGGTAAATTCAACCTGGTGTTCTTCGAACCACGCACATGCACTGCGAGCTGTATGACACCTCGCATTGTCCTGGCGGTAGATGCCATCATTCTGAGGAAAAATCATCTGCATGTAGGGGTGGACATGGTCCGCATGGGCAGATACGTACTTGTACTGATCCATCGTGCCTTCCACAATGATGAGTGCACCCAGTGAATGCCAGGAAAACATTCGCCAAACCATAACGCTCCCTCTTCCAGCCTGCAGCTTTCCGGCAATTGTTGCAGGGTGTTGCTTTCAGACGTTTCACGCCGTATACGCCAACGGCCATCTGTCCCATGGAGCATAAAATGTGATTCATCGGAAAAAGCCACCTGTTGCCACTCTGTGGACGTCCAGTAGCGGTACTGGCGTTCAAATTCCAGCCTTCGTCACCGATGAACAGCAGTCAGCATGGGTGCATTAACCAGGCGTATGCTGCGGAGGCCCATGCGCAGCAGCGTTCGCTGAACAGTTGTTGAGGATACACTCTTGGTAGACCCTTGGTTAATCTGGACGGTCAGTTGCTCAACAGTTGCACGTCTATTCGTCTGAACGCATCTCCGTAGCCTTCATTCGCCTCTGCCATCTTTGGCCCGTGGTGCACCACATGTGCCATGCCGCTTGTTTTGTATAGTGCCATTTTGCCATGCACGGTATACTCTTACCACGGCGGTGCGCGAACAGTTCACAAAATCAGTCGTTTCCGAAATGCTTCCACCCTCGGCCCGAAAGTCAATAATCATGCCCTTTTGGACGTCGGATAAATCGCTACATTTCTGCATTGCGCCAACGACTGAAATGCTTTTCGATGCCCTAGGACATCCAATATATACTGTAATGTGCTGCCACCTACACTCTGCGATTGGTTATTTCACTTTGACGTCGAAAGTAGGTGGTGGTCACATTAATGTGACTGGACTGTGTAGAATCTAAGTAAGATTGACGCTAATAATTCGCGATCACGACGAACTATAGGGGATGTTGTTGTATGAGACTAATACCCGCGATTTCTATATGAACAGTCATTCATTTACTCTAGAGACGTCTTTAATGTAGCGTTTAGCATGTCAAGGTTCCTTCTTTATCGTGGCTAATTAAATTTAAAAAAGAAAAATGTGTAATATGCTATCTTATGCAAACGAAAACAAAATGGTATCTCTTTTATTTTAGAGAAGGAACATCCAAAACACATCGGAAAAATATTTGCACATAAACAGAAAAAAATATGTATATTCTTATAAGAGTTAAAACCTAATGCCCGAGAAATAGTTTTACTAAATTTAATGATATAACATGAAAGGCCTATTTAAACTTTACATTCCATAGTTTTAAGAATCATATTACATCAAAAATTAAAATGAACAAAAAGTATTCATAAACCTCATAATTTTATAAAATTCAATTTCGTAAAAAAATTTTTTTGACTACAATTTTATCAAAAAATTTTAAGTTTCAATAAAAATCATTGTTTAGAAACTAAAAAACGTAAAATAAAGAATGCTTACGATACAAAGCAAAAAAGAAAAAAACAATTCTAAAAATTCCATACATTAAAATAAACAACTTTCATGTTTTTTCTTTTCTGATTCATAATCGGACGCAGAAAACCATTCTATACAAGACTATCATCAAATAAGAAAGAAACGACTTAAAAGTAAAATTTTTTATTTTATAAAAGTTAACACTTACCTGTTTTATAAATCAGAAGAATTCCAAAATGCTTTATTTGTTCTTCGATTTTTGTTACCATTTTTTAGTGCTACAAAAATGCGTCGTTGGGATTTGCCAAAAATAGAACAAGTTGCAGTTTTATTTTTTCAGGAGCGAAATATTTTGCCCATTGTCCACCGAAATCCGATAAACTACTTTGATTTTAAATAAAGTGTTTCATTTAATGATTTATCACAAAAATTTTAGGTGTAGATTGGCGGCACTTAAAAACCGCCAAATCTGTAGCTGCTGTTGCATTAATACATAAGTACCGAATTTTTATTCATACTTTTCTGAATCATATTACTTGAAACATTAGAATATGCAAAAAGTATACATAAACACATAATGTTATACCATTTATGTTTTCGAAAAAAGTATTTTGACAACAATTTTTATCAAAAAATTATAAACTATAAAACGGAAAATAAAGTATTAGGATAAAAAAAACGATTTTAAGAATTCTTTACATTGAAATAAAAACTTTCATATAGTTTCTATTCTTATTATTCTTATAGTTCTTAATCAGCTCTTAGTAAGATGCAAAAAACCATTCTGTAGAGAATTACCATCAAATAAGAAAAAAAAATTTACAAGCTAATTTTTTATTATAGAAATCATAACACTTGCCTTCTTTATAAATCAGCAGAGTTCCAAATGAAATGTTCTTCGTTTGAAAGTTTTATTTTCAAATAATATGTACATAGATTATCCCNTGCTTAGGTAAATCGTGGCGATCGTTTATGCCGCGATTCAGCAGCCAATCAGGTTCTCTAAAGTGGTACCAAATGTCACACATGCGTGACATTGCTTACAGGTATAAAATTGATTCAGCGGGGAAAAAAATCAAGGCTAAAAGCTCTATCAAAGCAAAAGGACTATGCCACTCGCAAGCTCATGATTGGACACTACAATGTGATTTTAGCAGCATTCTTCTCCTCGAGTGTCAAGTACTCAATTATAGAATCTAAGTAAGATTGACGCTAATAATTGAAAATTCATGAAACAAATTAAATAAACCGAAATAATTTTACTGGAAATTTCGTTTTCCATAAAAATCTATTTTCTCCGAATTTTTAGTATACCTGGATTTTCAAATTAACATTTTTAAGAGTGAAAAAAGAACTGCAACTGAAAAAACGAGTTAAACCGTAGAAAGTCAAGTGCTTACCCAAACAAGAGAGCTAATCAAACATGCAAGAGGATGGCCACCGAACATGGACTTACAGTGATTAAACACACCATTCGCGTGTACGAGTCCCGGTAAAAATATAATGCACTAACATTTGTAGAAATCACTTTATCATAGGCACCATGCAAGTGGATCCATGCCCGGAACCGGTCATGAAACAAATAAAATTTTTGCCGTGTATCCTGTACTGGATTGGGGAAAATTTTTTATTTCCACCTAGTACCCAGCATTACTTAAGGTTGCTAATTTACAATCCAGCAACTTTTAACGACTCGCTCCCTTTTTTGGAGGTTTTCCACTAGGCAGCAGTTAGATCCAATTATAATGCAAGTTTTTATTTCTTTAAAAATTTGTTACCTTAACTGTAAAAAGAAGTCACGAATCAAGTTATTTACGAAAATGCCATGCAGAAGAGCGAGTTGTTAAAAGTCACCGGATTGGAAAATCGCAGCCCGTTGCACTTTGAGAATGTAACAGTTCTTTTTCAATTCCAACAGGGTATAATGCAAGAGCTCTTGAAGTATTCCTCTTACAATGTAATCTTAATAGACTGGTCACGTGAAGCAAGCGGTACTCCAGCTCAAGCAGCAGCCAACGCCAGATTGGTCGGAGCGTATACAGCTAAACTTCTTCATTTAATAATGGTTTGGTATAACTTGAATATTATCCATATTTTTTTACTGTCTTTATTTCAACGAATTCAATTCACAAACACCTGGAAAAGTTTGAGAAATAAACAAAGTCATATATTTAAATTTAATTAAATTATTTTTGATACCATTGAATTTTCCGAGTAGTAGCTGGTTATAAACACTTTTCTCTGTATATTGCCTTATTATTGATACGGGACACTCATTTACAATCAAGTGGATTTTGACAACTTGTCTTCTCTTTTTTCTCTTGCCTGCATGTCTACAGTTCTTCAAAAAGAATCAGACCATTGCGGAAAATCTTTTGATCTTATAATCGTATCTTCACGCTAGAGGACTCAATCTTCATAGCTCGTGCCGGTGACTTCAAATAGGCTTATTTATTAGTGCAGACAATATTTCAAGTTATGAATTTAGGCACAAAAATGTACTTTTTCTGAATAAATAGACCTTGTTTTCAATGAATTCGGATTTCTGAACCCCAAAATATAGGGGGTAGCTGTATTTTGGAAATATCGTCCCTATAATTTGATCAGGAGAGCAATCCAAAGTTCGGATTGTTTAATGTCATTTTTATTTTTTATGTATTCCGCTGTATCTTAAGAAATTCAGCGAATTGAAAAACCTTTGCTCACATTAATAAAATTCGTTTATCCAAAGACAATTTCATGCAAAATTTTATACAGTAATACACAAAATTTTTCAACTCTTTTTAAATAAAATGATAAAAATAAATAAATATTTAACAAAATAAATAATAATTTTATAATTAAAATTTTATAATTATAATTTTATAATTATAATTTTATAATTATAATTTTATAATTATAATTATAATTTTATTAATTGACAATTATTTTATTAATTAATAATAATTTAATAATTATTTAATAAATATTAAACAAAAATGAATTTTATAATTGTATGCAAAAAGGTTTCAATTTCTCGAGAAATAGCGACATACCAAAAAAGTAAAATTAACGTTAATTAGTCCGATTTTTGGATCTCACTCCTGGCCAAGCTATGGAGACTATACTTCCCAGATTGCGGCTACCCCCTATAATTTGGACTAGGAAATCCGAATCTGTTAAAAAAAAAAGTTATGCTTATTGAGAGAAAATACGTTTTTATGCTAGATTACATAATTTAAAATAGTGTCTGCATTAGTTAGAACCATTAAGATTGAGTCCTATAACGTGAAGGCACCATCATTAGATCAAAAGTTAATAAAAAAATATAAATAACAAAAATAAATAATATAATTTTGCAAAAATAAATAACGATTTAAAAGAAAATTTTGAGGAAATCAAAAATTTAAATTAATCTTAATTTTCATTAAAAAATGTGTAAGGAAAAAATTTTGTTTTCAATTTAGGAAGCATTAAATTTTAATTTATTAAACTCTGAAATGCAGGAAAATGACACAAAAATCATTGAAATAGGGAATGAAAATATCTAATTGAAATACCTAACTTTCATTAGTTTGGAAAAAAATCTAGTTAGTTTAGTTGGGTACTGGGAAATTTTGAAATGGGATATCTAGTTACTTAAGTTTGGAAAAAAAGTTAACTAGAATTTGTAAAATTTTTAAATTTAAAAAAAATATGTCAAAAACATCGAAAAAATAATTTTTTTGAGGGAAAGTTTTAAAAACTTTCAAAAGAAAGTAACGCTAAATTTTGACATTTACGTTAAAAATATTTGTTTCTAAAAAAATTTTCGGAAAAACAAGTAAAAGTACTGAATTTAGAACGTACCAAAGTGCAAATAAAAGTGCGTTTCTTTTACTTTTAATTTCGTTACAAATAGCGTAAGAAATATACTGATATATATGGTTGTAAGCGCAGAATAATTAATTTATCTTATTAATAAGACGTTTATCAAAGATTAAAAGAGATAATGTGTAAATCATTGTTTCTTGTTTCTATACTTATGAAGCTGATGTTTTTTAATATTGGTTTGGATGGCATATTTTTCATACTGAATTAAAAGTAAAAACCCATAATTGAGGTGTCAAAATTAATATAAATCTTTATTTTGATTCCATGAATACACATTTCATCGGGATAAAAAGAGCTGAGCTCTAATCATGATAGATATTCATTTTCTAAAGATAATTAATTTTTAAAAGTAAGAACCAAGTTAATTCACGATCGCTTATTTTGTTTTAAACGCCAGTTTGATAGAATTGTTTTTATCTAAATAAAAAAACATTAAAATCAGTGAATATTTTTGAGCATTTTTCCTGAGTATCAATAAAAAACAACTTTATTAAAATAATACATCATAAGTTTTTCATATTTTAACTTTGTTCCATCATATCATATTTGTTCATCTCTTTAATTTTTCACATATGCACAAAACCTTAACCTAACAGTCTGAATCAAAGCATTTATAAAATTATAATTCGCTGAATGGCATTATTTTAAATTTTAAATTAGCCCTAAATAAACAATCTTAACATAAAGAAATCAAACGGTATTATAAACTATGTCTGATTCCAAAAGAGAAGAAAAATCACTTAAGCACTACAGAGTTGTGGAACCCATGTTTAGCTAAAGAATGCAAAAACTCTATAATAAATTGATCTTTCTGAAACTAAATAAATGTTAAAATAACACATTCTTAAACTTAACACATTATTAACAACCGCTGACGAATTAACTCGTCTTTTCATGACGAAACGTTGTTGACCTATAACGACTTAACTCGACATTGCACTTGCATTATCTATTTCAGCTTATGAAATCGAGGACGATATAGTAAGATGTTAAAACTTCGCTCGTCGCTTAGAATGTTTCACTTTACTTTCATATTTTCATATTCAGTTACTAAAATAGCCGGTGACATGGTATAGTTTATGTGTAAAAATACCAGTCAACTCTCTTCTATTCAACTTCAACGTTAAGTTCATCTCTTCTATTTGTATAGAATCAAACTGGATTGGAACCAGAAAACATCCATCTGATTGGTCACAGCTTTGGAGGTCAGCTGGTCAGTTACATTGGAGAGAGAGTTAGAAATTTGGGCAGAATCACAGGTATGGAAATTAAATCTGCGTCAGATAAGATGCTTTGTTTCACAATCAGATAGATTCATTTTAAGAAAGTACTTCAAATTGACAAAAAATTAATAAAGAATTGATACACCTTAAAATTATCAGAGTTAAGCATTCGCTACCTCGCCAAATGCAATAAAATCGTAAATTTGGTGAATAAAATTGTGTTCGGGTGAATATACAGGCGAATGATTTTTTCCACTCGAAAGAAATTAAAATTACGTCAAAATAAATTTTTCTAAACGAATCAGTATTTTTTATTCGATTACACTGTAAATAAGCCGTATAACCAATTAGAACTGGGTCCAAATAAAATATAAACCTAAAACAATTTTCCCCAAAATAGTTTTCTAGGGGGAAAATATTAATTATAAAGATTTGCGTTTAGCGAAGACCTTTGAAAATTGGCGAATACTTTAATTATGTAGCTAATTTACTAGTTAATAATTTGGAATCCTTAGGGCGGGTTCTGATTAGAAAACAGTGAGATGAAGACCATGATGGATTCCGAGGTGGAAAGAATGTTACTAGTTGAGCCGTGATCTCTTAGGGCAGTGGTGCACAAACTTTTTTCGACTGCGACCCCTTTAGTAGAAAGAAAAGTTTTGGCGACCCCTAGAGATAAATGTTCACAAATAAGATGTATATTTCGCGCATTTATTTCGTTTTATCGAATAAAAACATCATCATATTTGACTCATATTAATTTTATTTATAATTTTAAGAAAATACTTTTTGTATAACACAAAAATCAGTAAATTGCCCTTTAATGAGATGTATGTGGCTGCAAGTTTCTAATTATCTCATCGATGTTTGGATGTATGTTGCTAATTGCAATTCGCATATCATCTTCAGGGTTTAAACGCGAGCGGTATTTAGTTTTTATTGAAACTAGTTTGCTAAATCCAGTTTCACATAAATACGTTGATGCAAATTGTATTAACACTCTGATGGCATTCTTGCATAAAACGGGATATTGTTTTTCCACGGATAGCCAAAATTTTTGGCAAGGCTGAGTCTTAAATTGATTTCGAAGAGTATAATCACTAATTAGATCTATCAATTGCTCTTTCTCACTAATTTGAAGCGTTGAACTGCATATGTCAAAGGAAAATGGATCACGAATCCAACCAAGATCGTTTTCAGGAAAATCCTCGAATCTTCTCGAAAAATTTTTCTTTAACTTTTCAATGTGATTGGAAATGATGTTTTTAAATGTAAATATATCTATATTATTTTCCTTGATAAAATCGTTAAAGCAAGGGAACATGTTGGTGTTGTTTTTATTCAGTTCAGTTTGCCAGAGACTAAACTTATTCTTAAAAGCTTGAATTTTACTGGCTGTAGTTATGATAGTTGAATTCTCACTCTGCAAGCTCAAATTTAAGTCGTTAAGTTTTTCGAAAATATCAACTAAATAGCTCAGCTTCCCTAGCCAAACTTCATTGATATAATAACTTGCCAATCTATGTTTCTTTTCGATTTAGAACATGTACACTTCATTTCTCAAATCAAATATCCGTCGTAGTATTTTCCCACGTGAAAGCCATCTGACTTCGGTGTGTAACAGTAATTTCTCATACGTTGAGCCCATCTCATTGCAAAGTATTGAAAAGAGACGGCTGTTGTGGCTGTTGCATTTAATGTAGTTAATTGAACTAACAGCGTCTTGTAATACGTTGTGCAACTCTTCATCCATATCTTTTGCAACAAGAGCTTGCCGATGAATCATACAGTGATTAAATACCATATGAGGCGCCACCTTCTGAATTAAGCCTCTGAGCCCTTTATTCGAACCTGTTAATGGTGCAGCACCATAAGAAAGGGTAGACAGCATGAAATTGCAATTAAACAGGGAGTGACGGCGCTTCACTCCTTATATGTACACTGTATGGTATGCAGCATGCAGGGATAATGCATTTCATAACAATTTGGCGACCCCCAAAAAAGTTCAGGCGATCCCTAATTTGCGCACCACTGTCTTAGGGGATAGAGCATTCGCCTTCCAATGAGGTGACTGGGTTCGAATCGCAGCAATGGCGGGACGATGCAAAGTCAGCATTCAGCTTTCACCGACCACAGTACTGACGTAAAATATCCGCAGTGGTAGACCTATTATGGGTTGAGTTAACCTTGTTGTCAGGCTAGATATGATTTTCGTGCTTTTCTTCCCCATGTAAAGCAAATGCAGACTTGTTTACTTAAAAAAGACCTGGAAGAAGACAAACACCTACCAATACTTGATTTAGTATTTCCCTTGTGTTCTGAATTGGGTTCAAAATTAAAAGGCAAGGGGGTTAATCATTAGTAATCGTAATCCCAAAAAATTGGGTCGTCTGTTCAACGGTGGTTGCAAAATAAAATAAAATAAAATAAAATAAAATAAAATAAAATAAAATAAAATAAAACCATTACTGGTTAGAGTGCCTAAATAGAAAATAAAATAGAAATTCAAAGTTTGAAAATCTGATTTTTTGTCCATTTCCATTGTTTTTCTGTGGACAAGACGTGCACACCTAGCAATAAACCAATTGTCACCACTGCTTCAATGAAAGCACTCTTGTTTTATTATCTAGGCGTTAACATTTAGGAAAATATTTTGGAGAAAATACTATATCCTATGATAGTGCGTGCGTCGAAAAATTGCATCGAAAATATACGTCGAAATATTACAGAGCAAGTGTTAATATGAAATCTTTTATAATCGTTTTTGAACAGCCGACCCAATTTATGGGTTTGTGACTACTAATCTTCAATTCTGTAGCCTTGTAATTTTGAACCAAAACAAGAAGCCAAGGAAACTCCTGGATCAAGTATTAGGGGAAATTTACCTTCGTGGAGGACTTTTTGATGGAACTAACCCGCATTTGCGTTACATGGAAAGGAAAACAACGAAAACTTTCCACGGTGAGCCTGACAGCAATAGGACTTTAACCCCATGATCCATCATTCACTGGATATATTTTACGCCAGCACTGTGGTCGGTGGGAGCCGGGTGCGGAATACGTAATGACCAGCCATTCCTGGGATTCGAACCCGGTCACCTCATTGAAAGACGAGCGCTTAATCCCCTAATCCATCACGATTCCGTGTGAAATCTTTTGACATCGTAAGGAATTTCTTCAAAAATTCCATATTTTCTAATCGAGCTTTAATAAGATCGTAGATAGAACTGAAAATAACTACTCGTCACGTGGCGAGTCAGCAGAAGAATATAGGCGACCTTAATTTAATGAACAACCAGTGAATTTTTCCAATCCTTTATTTTTCGATATTTTTTAATTACTCATTGAATTTTCTAACTTGGTGAAGACAATTCAATATGTTTAGCTAAATTTTGTCACATATTCGTTTTGTTTATATAATTGAATTTTCTTTTTATAGCCATAGATTATTTCTACCAGAAATTTTTTTTAAGAAATATGATTTAATTCAAGTACAGAAAAGGAAAAATTGGCTATTAAATAGAAAGACCCGATCGGTATTGGTAACCAGCAGGACCGGAGGAAAAAATGGCTTAAGTCATTAGGCATGAGGAAAATTCATTAGGCTTGAAAAAAAAGTGACTGAGTTATTAGAGTGTACCGGCCACTGGTTTGTAACTGAAAATTTACATTTTCAGGTCTATTCGTAGATCCTAATAAAACTATAAAAGCTTCTGCCTTTTTATTGAATATTTTGCATTTATGTAATTTAATAAGGTTTGATGAGATCTGTGTACTTATTAACTTGATAATTTCGTGCATGTTTGAAAACAAAAATTGGTAAATTCTTACATTTTAAAATTTGTTAATTTTTTCCATTTCGATTAAGTTTGATAGGTTGCTACCCTTTATTAAAAAAATTTACGCTTACACTTTCATAAAATTTAGTAACTTACACAAAATTTTATGACTTGTTTTTATCTATTTTGTAGCCTTGGATCCACCAGGTCCATACTTTGACAATGCACCCAAAGAAGTTCGTTTAGATAGGAGTGATGCTATCTTTGTTGATGTTTTACAGGCGACTGCTGGAAAAACCTATTTTGAGGGTAAGTACCATACACCCAGGACTAAATTCGCACGTCACAAGTAATCCGGAAGTACAAATTAAACAGCAGATGTTATTCGCCAAACGAGATTTGATTTGTCCTGAAAGATTAGATTTTCACTCTTTGCTTGAGCCTCAATTTTGTTCCGAGTAGAGTGCCACACAAGGGTCGGAATCAGCTACCCCAAAACTAAATACCCGTATATTTTGTATTTTCTAAAATAACTGATAAAAAGACTGCAAGACGTCTAAGAGGAAAGTTCGTTTAGGTATCGCAAGGCTGGCTGTGTTTACAGGAGAAAAATTTTTTAAGCAGCACCAATTTTGATTTTTAAATAAAATTGGTATTGATGTTTAGAATCTCCTCATCCTTCCTAGTTATATGATATAACTTCGAAAACGTTATTTTTTCTCACTTATGTATTTGCTGTATGATTAATAATGTGCATACTTCGCTTACATAATTTTTTATTATGATTCTAAAAATATATATTACGAACGATTATCTTTTGTACTACAAAAATTAAGCTGCAACACGTGTTCTGCGTCTAATTTTTTTAAAAAATTGAGCATTGAAAAGTGAACGAAAATTTCGGTAACTAAACAATTCTTTATTGAATGAAACATAGAAGTTCATAATCAGAATGACTTCAACGCAAAATGATTCGCCTAACAAAATGGCACTATTGAAGCGCAAACGTAGAACAATTCGAATTAATATTACTCGCTTCATTAGCCAACTAAAAGACACTTTAAATTCTACATCGATTGCGGATATTGAATTCACTTGTAGTCGTCTTGACGAAGTATACTTAATGACACGGAAATAGTGGATAATGATATACACATGCTACTTTCGGATGCGGAATACTAAATTGATGTAGTGCAATGACAAAAGTATACGACAATGTGCAATGACAAAAGTATTTCAATTTGTAAGAACAGTGCTGATCACCCAGGTACTACATCTACTCACAAGATCGATATTGCAACACCGAACACTGCGCATTTGCAAACTGCAAGAGTTTTTATAATAGGCCCGACTGGTGCTACAAGATTGACCCGTTGTCTTCTGGAGGGAGGTAGCCTGTCTAGATAAATTCATACTGATCTTGCTGATAGTTTAAAATTAACAGTTATTTCTACAAAACCATTAGAAGTGCAAGGATTTGAATCTACAGCGAATGTTTCCTATATGAGACAAAAATTAAAGCTTAAACTATCGAGCATTCGGAATCAGTCTTCAGTTAATATTGAAGCATTTGAAGGCTTAATGAATACGTGTCACATCCACCTGCTCCATCTGATGTTTCACGGTTCGCATTCCTGAAAAGAATGAAACTGGCTGACCCTTACGATTACTTATAAAATCTACCTATACAAGTTTTGATTGGTGCTGATTTCTACAGGCAAGTATTAAACCATGAAGCTCCAGTTATGCTGTCAGAATCCCTTGCATTGGTTTCGTCACATTTGGGATGGATTCTAAGTGGACCTCGATCATGCACAACAGTTTCCAATGTAGCTACTGTAAACTACCTCAACACATTCACTCAACAAGAACCTATCACTGAAAATGTATTTGCCTTCTGGGATTTGGAAACAATTGAAATCACCACTTCCCAGGATAGAGAAATGTCTAAACATGATTCGACTGTTTTGAAGAACTTTCGTGACTCCTTTAAATTAGTTGATAATCGTAGGGTCGTGTCATTATCTTGGAAAGCTATGGTGTCAACATTAACAACAAACAAAACTACTGCTGAGAGCAGATTTCAGTCACTTAAAAAAAGACTCACATCAAATGAATCTTTGAAGACACAGTACGAAAAATTGTAGAATTAAATTGAACAAGGACATATTGAAGTTGCCCATCTGCAGATGAAACTGAAAACACCGTGTACTATCTGCCACATCATGCAGTGAAAAAGAAGCAGCACGATGATATAAAGTGGAGAATCGTCTCTGACGCCTCATCACATTATTCAGGCATGCCATCATTAAACGACTCTATAGAAGTTGGTCGCAATCTTCTACCTGAGACTGTTGGTTGTGTTCTACGTTTTCGACTGCATGAATTTGCCCTAACCTGTGATGGTAAACAAGCTTTCCTACAATTGGTTTTGCATCCAAAGGACAGAGATGCAACGAGATTCTTCTGGTACAAAAAAAAGAAAGGGTCTTCAAAAACAGCTACATTCACAGATGAAGTAACCATATACAGATTCACTCGATTACCATTCGGACTGCCTTGCTGCCTATTTCTGTTGTGTGCTACTACACGAGAACTAACCACTAATCATATAAATGACTTCCCTACTTCTGCAGCACTCTTAGATAAATATTTACCGATGAATGGTTTTTTGGTTAGTCTAGAAACTGAATCACATATAATGGTATTACAAAAGGAAATCAAAGATTCGATGACACTCATAAAACCACCGATGGAAAAATGGGCTACTAACTCTAAGAAGCTTCAACACTTGCTAGAAACTAACAAAGGCAATTCCAAGACCGAAACTACAGTTTTAGGCATTACATGGAACACGAAAACTGATACTTTGAGCAACACTTTCAAGACTTCTCTCTGTGCTCCTCTAGATAAGCCACTTACTAAGAGGTGGTTATTCCGCTCTGCTGCAAGCGTATACGATCCCTTAGGACTGTTGACACCATTCACAATAATTGGAAGGAATCTCTTTCAAGATACTGGGATTATCGGAATCAATTGGGATGAAATCTTGCCGACAATCTTGGCTACTATTTGGCATACAGTTAAAAACCAGCTTGATGCTATCTGCGTTAAGGAAATTCCTCGTTACATAGGAATTTCATCGCTTGATTCCTTTAATATTCATATTTTCTGCGATGCATCTGAGCGAGCTTATGGTGTGGTTTTGCGCATAGTTACTTCTCATAATTATCAATTAAGTATCCATTTAGTATGCAGCCGCAATAGACTTGCACCTGTAAAGAAAGTTTGTCTTCCACGCTCAGATCTTTTATCAGCTGTGATTGGTACCAGACTGCTGAAATATTTTTGCAATGAAACTGGATTGTCGCCATCTACTGCCACATTATGGAGAGACTCTGAATTCACCCTTGGTTGGATTAGGGGTAATCCCAACAGATGGAAAACATTGATGGGCAACAGGGTAACAGAAATCATTTCAGACGCTGTCCCTTTACAGTGGCGGCATTGCCCGGGACAAGACAATCCAGCGGACAAACTATCAAGAGGAGTTCAACCATCTGCACTGAAAGATCTCAACTTCTGGTGGAACGAACCCACTTGTCTGACCGAACCCACAGAAAGCTGGCCAGATTCTAAAAATGGTTACTCTCATAATTTGGAGTTGAATTTGGAAAGAAAAATAAAGAAATTCCAGCATTTAATGTTACTACTTTTAAACCCATCATAGACACAAAGAACTACAGCTCCTGCTTCTGACTGTTACGTGTTACTGCATGGATTCTATGCTTTATCTCGAACTGTAGATATCAAGGCAAAACAGTCCGAGAACTTGACACAGAAGTATACGATGTTGGAAATTACTGGATACAAGTGGTTCAGAAAGAGCCATTTCCGTTAGGATACGAAGCTTTATCAACATCCAAGTCACTGCCGAAAAATTCAAAGATTACAAAGTTCAACCCACTATTTGACAATAAATTAATACTTATTGGTGGTAGATTACAGTTTTCGAGTTTATCAGAGTCCCAAAAACCTCCAATTTTTGTGGATCTCATCCTTTCACAAGTCTGCTGATACGTCAAACACATATCAAAATGCACCACCTTGGCGTCAGAACAGTGCCTTCGGAACTACGTTCAAATTTTTGGATTCTACAAGGCCGTCAGGCCATCAAACCAGTGATTTACAAATGCGTACCATGCAAGATATCATGAGCAATGCGCTGCACTCAAATTGAATCTCCTCTACTAGCTGATAGAATTAATCCAATTACACCATTTTTTACAGCAGGAATAGATTTTGCCGGCCCTGTACATGTTCGCAATTTGAATCCTTCAGATACAGCTTACATTGTGCTGTTTACCTGTGCAACGACCAAAGCCTTACATCTCGAACTTGTGTCAGATCTTTCGACAGATAAGTTTCTGTTAGCATAGCAGTGATTTGTGGGTCGTATAGGACTACCACATACCATCTATAGTGACAATGCTGCCACTTTCCGCACTGTAAATAAGGAGCTAATACTTCTACGGAACACTCTTACATCTACTAAAGTGCAGCAGTCTTACGCTCATAACGGAGTAATTTGGAAGTTCATCGTACCCACAGCAGCTTGGTGTTTAGGTTGATGGGAGCGACTAATCAGATTTTATTTTATTTTATAACCTTCATTGAACAGCCGACTCAATTTCATGGGTTTACGACTACTAATGCTCAACTCCGTAGCCTTGTAATTTTGAACCAATCCAGAAGACAAGGAAACTCTTGGATCAGTATCCCCAGAGGAATTGATTTGTTATTGGAACATGGAGGACTCTGAGACTCGACAGATTTAACATGCATCAGTCACCATTTGCTACACGGGGAGTCTTCGGCAGACGAGGATCGAACCCACGACCTCTTGGACATGGACCCAGCGCCCTACCGACCAGGCTGTCCCAACCTGCCTAATCGGATTAGTGAAAAATTGTTTTCGTAAATCTCTTGGTCGGGCACTATTGGATAAAGAAAATCTACCAACTGTACTAGTAGGGATAGAAGCCGCCCTCAACAGCAGACCCCTTGTATATAAAGAAGGAGATGAAAACAAAACGGAGGCCTTGACACCGGCACATTTCCTAACGGGTAGAAAACTAACATCTATACCCACAAATATGTATAACCATCCAAGACTTACGAAACTCTACAAACAACAACAAGACGTAATGGATATATTTTGGAAAAGATGGTGCAAGGAATATCTACTGCAACTTCGCTCTTATCACCGAGTTCGCAATATTTATAACTCCTTCAACATCCATGAATGAGATCTTGCGCTACTTCAAGATGACGTCAGACCCAGACACATGTGGAAGAAAGCCCGAATTACCAATCTAGTTAAGGAGTGTGATGGGGAAATTCGAACATGCGTGTTAAGAGTGCATGGAAAGACTATAACTCGACCTATACAGCTGGTCATCCCGCTTGAGGTTGACCTGGGTGGGGAGGATGTTGCGACGACAGTGGACAGTTAGTATAAATATCGTACAGTCTTAAGAAATAAGTTGTCCGGAATGTGGCTTTTAGAAAGAAATGTATTACCAAATTCCGCCGCTTAATTGCAATGTATTGGGTAACGTTGACTTTCCGTGATTCCAATTGTAATTCGAGACACAGAAAGGGAGAAAAAGAAATAAACACGGAGTAACACTTGTTACAGACCGTAATCGTGGAGAAGAACTCGATGCAGCGATTTGTCAGCCAAGGTATTACGAACCGTTCTCTATTGATTTCAGATCTGGAGGTCTAAAGGACCCATTAATCACGTATTCCCCGATAGAGAATAGTTAAGACAACCTTGTTAGACTAGTTTCTGCTTAATTCCTTTTCCACGGTTTTATATGAAATGGAAAAAAAAGTATTCAAACATAAAAAAACTTTGGTAAAAAGGTATGTAAATAAAAAATATATGCAGCATATGTCGCTTATCCACTTCACAGCACATTTGATTTAAAAAAAGTGTTCATATTTCGGTAATTTCAGGAATTTAGGCTAAACCGTAAAAACCATCCTGCCGTGATCAGAGTCTCCTTGCCTCAGCGATAAACGCGCTTTTGCAACTATTATCTAGAAAGCGCTAGAGGATGCATCTTCAAGTCAAAGGAAAAAGTAACTGGACGTGTATACTAAACCTTAAAATTCCTAATGAATGATTTAATCATACAAGAATCGATTAAAGGGGATCCCGTCATCAAATGGCTTTACACAATGTCTAGCTTGTATAGATAGTTTTCTTTATCGATGACCGGAATTTTTTCCATTAATTGATACAAAAACAAATATAATTTCTCAAGTTTCATTACATAGTTGTTGGATATCCAGGTACAGTTCGTTTACCAGGAGTCGGCACTTAGCTACAACTCCTCGGACGAAGCGTTCATTTTGTCGCGGGAGAAAGAGGAGAAAATTGTCCACGCATGAAATGGAGACAACCGTTAATGCGCATCAAACGCAAACAGTGAATTTTTTTTCAGTCACTTACTTCTCTTTATCGTCTGCTAATATACCTTTCGTTACTCCAACTAATTAAATATATTGCAGCAAAATGTCTCAAAAAGGACAAACTATTCACTCAAAAGAGAGAATTATCATCAAATTTATGAGAAGAAATGTTAAAAAGATGCACATAAAGATTTGGAAATAAATATTTTTGTCATACGATTCCCAAATAGCAACCTTGCTCATGATTGTTCACATCCTTCTCCCAAATATAGCAAAATAGTATCTCCTGATACCACGTCATGAAAGCGGAGTCATGTGCCAACTCCCGGTGAACGAACTATACTTATAACAGTCACTATTGATCCCGGTAGCCGATTTCAAAGTGATTTACTCAATTCTTTACCAAAACTGAACTGTTCTAAAAATGTTGTCTGCTTTTCCTATCTATCACGTGGTGCGAAACTATTTTATTATATATTAATTTCTCTTTTGAAGGCATTGGCACAAATGATATTATTGGGCATGCTATCTTCTCCATCAACGGTGGACATCGTCAACCAGGCTGCCCCTACACACCTACCAAACGTCGTAAGTTTTCATTTCAATACTTATAGGTTAATCAATTTCATCCTTTATGGAATTTGCATGATAAGTAGTGTGTGAGTCGTGGCGAATCAGAGGGCAGAATGTTCGCCTCCCAATGAGGTTAACCGGATTCAAATCCCAGCTATGTCTCTTAGTTACGAATTCAGCAGCCAACTCGCACGGACTACAATGCTGACGTGAAATATCCTCAATGCTATCCAGACCATGGGTTAGAGTCCCCTTGGCGTCAGGCTAACTGTGGGAAGTTTTAAAGGTTTTCCTCTCCATGTAACGCAAATGGGGTTTAGTTCCCTCAAAAAAGTCCTCCAGGAAGGCTAGTTTCTCCCAATGCTTGATCGAAGAGTTATCTTTGTCTTCTTTATTGGGTTCAAAATTTAAAAACCACAAAGTTTATTGGTAGTCGTAAACTCAGAATTGGATTGGCTGTTCAACTACTGTTATAATTATTGGTTGATGCATACATTGATTTTGCTTATTGTTTGCGAACATAAGACACTTGACATTTTCCTATGACAACCATTTCAATATTTTCTAGAGAATGTACTCCTCAACTTTGTACATTGCTTCAAACTTTAGGAAAGAATATTTTCCCTTCAATGCATATAAATTATCTTATCTCTTTAAAGAATCTTTTTTAACCATAAACTAAACTAATGTCAAAAGTGTTTATTCCAATACAGTGAAAAATTAATTTATTTTTTAATTTATTGTAACATGAAAGCTGAAGAAAGTGGAGAATGAATTTCTTCATTTGAAAAGTATATTTCAGCAAAAGTATTTAATGTAAAATTTGAAAGGAAAAGTTATATAAAACATGTTTGTGTTATTATGTTATATAAAAATACGTTATTTTGAAGTTTATTGGTTATCTTATTTGACAGTTAGAATGAAAAACTGCATTCTAAACATCTTTTTTTATTTCTTATATAAAGTCACAAGTCAAAAAGATATGAATGCAAGAAAAACATGGCATCACTTTAGCTTAATCAGAAATTTGTACTTATTCTATGCAATTATTTTATTTATTTGTTTATTTATTTTGATATTTTTATCGCCTATCACAGTGACGCAAAAGTATCTTTGTATCTTAAACAGGTAACAATTTTTTCTTCCAAATTGATAATAAATGTGAATTAAACGTTTCTAAGAAAATAGAAAAATGTCGTTACGAATGTCTAAATTATAAGCTGTTGCAAGTAAAGAAATACCCATTATCTTCATGGAGAGGACCTGTTTGTATTCAAATGCACACCAAATATATGCCAAGCTCCCAGTGCGAACGTATATCAACATCTTCAACTCTAATTTAAAGAAACCAATGAAAGAATAAAAAATATTGCTTTTTGCAGACGATTTTCTTCAACAGTGAAACAAAATTAATAATTCTTTATTTCACATTTTTACTTTATTCGCACTATTGGGGGATGTTAGCATGAGACACGCTAAGTAACTACAGATTTATTGCTTCTTAAAAAATGAGATGGGTGTGCCTGGTGTTTTCGCTATATTGGGTTCAAAATTGGTCAATTTTAATCTTAAATCCCCTCAAAACTCCACATTTAATTTATTTTTGTACTTTGTATTTACGTGACTGAAACCGGCTTCAACCATATGGGAACTTGGAAATACGATCGTAAATGGCTGAGCTATTTCGTAAAGTTTTACATATTTTTGCATTATCTTTAAATTTGTCCAAAATATGCTTATTGCTAAATTTTTAAAAAGCGTCTTTGCTTCAAGATCCGATAATAATTCAGCAAGCTCATCTTGCAGGTTGATGTCCACGTTTTCAATTTGAGCAGAAAATGGCATAATAGTCCAAAGTCACAATAAAGTTTTAATAATGACACTGCAAATATTCAACACTGTTCACAGTTTGCAAAGATTGCTGAAACTGCGTATGACATTTGCGTTTGAAACGTCAATGCTCGTCACACGTTACATTTGGACAAGCGCACATATGCATATGACTCATAAGCCAGAAGTACAGAGTTCGGGCCACTGCGCGCTGGTACGTAAATACTTGCCTCACCCGAATAAATGTACGTTTATTAATTTATTTCTATAAAGAAACTGATATTAAGTCAATTATAAAAAAATTCAAAAAATTTACATACTTAATTAGGTATGCGTGATTTGCGTATTAAGAACTGTTTTTTCTTCGATCCCGAATCGACCATTCCGATTCGGATCGACCCCCGGCTGAGATCGACCCCCGCTTTTGTGAAATAGACCCCTGGGGTCTATTTAGACCACTTTGGCGACCACTGGTCTAACGTGTTAACGAAATAAAACAGAGCTATATGCAGTCGTTCATGATTACTTAAATCCTACACGCAATGGTCTTTTCTTAACTTACAACGGCGTATAGAACGAGTATAGAATAAGTATAGTCCACCTTTAACCGTCGCCCTCTGCGCTCAAAATGACAAATGTGTTTCAAATGGAAATGTCGCCAAATTTTCAAGTCTAGTATTCCAGTATGACTACGAAACAATAACCTTTTCTTTATAATTCTACAATATATACCGTAAAAAATAACACGAATTAAAATTTGGTCTGACGTGTTTAACTTTCAAAATTTTTTATGCTGTTTTTGAAAGTATAGTTGTATAATTTGATAAAAAAATAAAACGGAACTATACGCAATCTCGGATGATTAAGTCCACCTTTAACCGTCGCCCTCTACGCTCAAAATGAAAAATGTGTTTCAAATGGAAATGTCGCCAAATTTTCAAGTCTAGTATTCCAGTATGACTACGAAACAATAACCTTTTCTTCATAATTCTACAATATATACCGTAAAAAATAACACGAATTAAAATTTTGTCTGACGTGTTTAACTTTCAAAATTTTTTATGCTGTTTTTGAAAGTATAGTTGTATAATTTGATAAGAAAAATAAAACGGAACTATATGCCGTATCGGATGATTACTTAAATCCTATACCGCAATGATCTTTTCTCAACTTACAACGAAGTCATCATGACTGTGACTGTGTTCCATGTCTTAAACGGAAAGGGGGCAGAATTTGTTGAGGTTCTTTCAACTTCCAATGGATGGGTGGCCTAATGTAAACAATAACAAGCGTCCTTTAACCGGAAGAAATTTAGAAAATTTCCGGTGTATCCCTCCGCTTATGTTATGACTACGAGGCGATGTGTGAACAAGCCTAATATTCTATGCAGTTTTGTTGCTGTAATTTGGTTTCAAATCTAAACATAATTGTACCATTCATAAGAGCTTTCAGAAATGTATTGATTTTCAGAGGTCGTAAGGCCAGAAACAATTTTGGAAAGTTAGTATCTCATTGTGAATAATTCTTAAGGTTTGCCATGTTTTGTATTTTATCCCTTATTTGGCTACATTTGAATAAAATGTCGCCAAAAATATCTTTAAAAATATCTTTTTAAGTTAGCCTAATTAGAAAATATTCTAATGATTATAATATTAATATGATAATGCTGAAGTTTAAAGGCTGAAAGAAAGAACTCGGTACATGTGAAATACTGCAAAAGATATGATGGCGCGTTTTTTCAATCTGCGGCATAAAAATATATCGGAAGCAGTAACCCGGAAGTCTTGCTAGAGCAATTTAACCACTAGCACCACCACCCTTAGCTTTACACGATCACCCATCCATAGCAGTTTTAGGCAGAAGAATTTCTGCTGGCGTAAATTAAATTGTGTAAATCCTCATCTCAACGATCTGGTAATTGCATATCAATACAGAATAATTTCCCAAAGTGCTTTTCAACACTTATTTTAAAATCTGAAGAAAACTTTTTTTTGCAAAAGCACGACATAAAAATCAGATTTAGAGGGACTGAATTTCCCAAGTATATGAAAACAAACTCGAAACGTCGAAAAATAAATAGTCACGTCAATGCTATGACGTCAGATGAAGATATCACGACTCGCTGTTTTTTTTTTTTTTTTTTTTTTTTTTTTTTTTTTTTTTTTTTGGCGAATAAAAGAGTTTTTTTTTGTTATTTATTTATAGCACGAAGCTTTGCTGCTCTTCGGCCCGGCCCTTTATGCAGCCACGAGCGAGTTCTAGACTATTTTAAGTCTTCCATCAAAACTTGTAACTACACTTCATACGCATGTTTCTCCTACGAAGCATATAAGAATGGTCAATGCAAGGACACTCCATACAAGAACAGGATGGGACTCCACGCTGTCAAACCACCCTATCAGCTCAATTATTTCTTGGACACCACCGGTACAGCTCCCTACTGTGAAGCCAAAGACAGTGAACCCTCACTTCTGCACCAGTTCTTACATGCACCTTTTTCATTTATACTACGATTTTTATAGGTCTCCCGGTAAAGCTCCCTACTGTGAAGCCGAATAATTTATGTATTCCTCTTATTGTTATGTAGTTATGAATCCTCATTAAATTATGAATTACATTACATTTATTTCTGTAGTATTCTTCATTAATTTATAAGGCCAGCAGTCCCACCACTGAATTTAAACAATATTTTGAATATCGTATATTTTTTGTAAGTTTGCAAGCCATCTAGTTATTATTATTTTTTTTTTTTTGTTGCGAAATTCAGAAATGGTGAACCATGAATTTTGGAAATTAAAAAAATAAAGGTTTCATGCAGTTTTTTAAGCCAAAATATTCTATTACACATTTTAGGTAATAGTGGAGAGAATTAGTATGTGGTGTATAATCAAGAACTCGTGAGTTAAATCGTTTTCGATTTCTGACTCAGAAGAAACTCCGGAATCTTCTTCTACACTACATGGTGTAGAGTAGTCATCACCAACCACCCTGTTTTTTCCAGTAGCACTGAAACTTATAGTTACAGTAAAATATCATAAACATAAGAACCAGTAAAGCAATTTTTGCGGGACAATACAAAATATGAATCAGTAATTTTGGTTGCAGACACTAATTTTTTAAACAAAATCAGACACACGCGTAGTACAGAAAGAATATTAACACGAATTCCTACAAGAATTAAGAGAACAAGAGTGGATAGAAATTATCGAAATTATATTTATTTAGTACAATTTAAAGAAACTTAAGATATTATAAATATGTGTTATAGATATAAATAAAGTCATAGTTGCGCTAGATAACAATTATAGTTATCAATTAAGATATGAATATCCTTTTCGATGGTTGATTGAATATAAACAGTAACATGCTTCCTAAAACAGGAAGAAATTTACAAAACTTCCGGTGTATCCCTCCGCTTGTGTTATGCTAACGAGCAGATGTGTGAGCAGGCTTAATATTCTAAGAAGTTTTAGTACTGTGATTTGTGTTTAAAATTACGCTTAATTTTTCCATTCATAAGATTTTTTTATAATTTTTAAATTCCGAATGGTCCTAAAAAATTTAACAAAATTAATATCACAGCATAAATAAAGTGTAAGGCTAGCCAAGATTTGATTGTTATCCCTTACTAGGCTTGTTTTGTGTAAAATAGCATAGTTTGTTATTTTTTGGGGTAACATCATAGGAAGCATGCGGAATCTTCCGTATTCATTTGTTGTTTGTTTTGTTGAAAGTTAAATTGAAAGAGCGTGACCAGAAAGCATGTAACCTTGCGGCAATCTTGCAACAGAGTTTTCTTTTTATTGTCATGCAAATGTTTTCTCTAAAAACCATTTTTCAATAAAGCAAAAATATTTCAGTTTCAAACCTTTCATCCTGAAAGGGTTAAAAAAAAATTTTAAATCCTTTTTTTAAAAAGTATTGTCACTTACGTAAAGTAGTAGCTTAGGTCCATAATGACGTTTTAGTTGACGTCACACTATCGATGATAGTATCAAATTGCATTGTCCATTTAAAATTCTTGACAAGGTGGATTTTAGCTAAGCATACAAGACATTGTGAAAAGAAACCTTATAATTATCTAGATTTACGATTATTTTCAAATTAAGACTAGCTTAATTCAAGGACTTTTTTAACTCTTGAAATCCCTAAGACAACCTCGATTTAAGGCTTTTTATATTGAAGGTTGCTTTCCACCATTTTGGATTAGGGTAAAGTGCGTAGATTGTCAAAGATCTCGTTTTAGGATTAGAAGGTTTACACGCAAATCGCATATAAAACCTTTTAAGGTTTACATTAAAAGGTTTTTGCTNATTCCAACTGGTCCTAAAAAATTTAACAAAACTAATATCACAGCATAAATAAAGTGTGAGGCTAGACAAGATTTGATTGTTATCCCTAACTTGGCTATATTTGTGTAAAATAGCATAGTTTGTTATTTTTTGGGGTAACATCATAGGAAGGATGCGGAATCTTCCGTATTCATTTGTTGTTTGTTCAGTTGAAATTTAAATTGAAAGAGCGTGTCCAGAAAGCATGTAACCTTACTGCAATCTTGTGTCAGAATTTTCTTTTTATTGTCATGCAAATGTTTTCTCTAAAAACCATTTTTCAACAAAGCAAAAATATTGCAGTTTCATACCTTTCATCCTGAAAGGGTTAAAAAAAATTTTTAAATCCTTTTTTAAAAAGTATTGTCATTTACGTAAAGTAGTAGTGTAGGTCAATAACGACGATTTAGTTGACGTCACACTATCGATGATAGTATCAAATTGCATTGTCCATTTAAATTTCTTGAAAGGTGGATTTTAGCTAAGCATACAAGACATTGTGAAAAGAAACCTTATAATTATCTAGATTTACGATTATTTTCAAATTAAGACTAGCTTAATTCAAGGACTTTTTTAACTCTTGAAATCCCTAAGACAACCTCGATTTAAGGCTTTTTATATTGAAGGTTGCTTTCCACCATTTTGGATTAGGGTAAAGTGCGTAGATTGTCAAAGATCTCGTTTTAGGATTAGAAGGTTTACACGCAAATCGCATATAAAACCTTTTAAGGTTTACATTAAAAGGTTTTTGCTGAGTGAAAAAAAACTAAGTTTGTGATCTGGGTGTTATATTGAAACCACTACTGTTATAGCAATACTGGATGGTGCGTTTTTTAAAGCTTAGGCGTGAAAATCAGTCGGAAGTAGTAACTCGGAACTCTTACGACTAATTTTAGCCCGTAGCGCCTACTGCACTTAGCTTTACACGGACTAATTTTTCATTAGAAGGGCCGGGATAGCCTGGTAGGTAGGGCACTGAACTCGTGTCCAAGAGGTCGTGGGTTTGATCCCCGCCGGTTAAAGACTCCCCGTGTAGTAAATGGTGACTGATGAACGCTAAATCTGCCTAGTCACAAAGTCCACCATGTTCCCATAACAAATCATATATCTGGGGGTACTGAACCATGAGTTTCCTTGTCTTCTGGATTGGTTCACAATTTGTCACAAAGTCCACCATGTTCCCATAACAAATCACATATATCTGGGGGTACTGAACCAGGAGTTTCCTTGTCTTCTGAATTGGTTCACAATTAGAAGGTTACGGAGTTGAACAATAGTAGTCGTAAACCAAAATTGGGTCGACTGTTCAACGACAGTTATAAAAAATTAAAAAAACATTTATTAAGCAACTAAAAACATAATAAATCAAAACTAACACAACCATCTAGAAACAAAGCATAATTAAATACAAATTATATATATAT